GCATCTTGCCTGGATTATTCTCTAATACGCGTTTTCCCGCGTAACACGACAGTTCCCGCCGAGGACCTGACGGGGTAAAATCTACCACGTCACAATACATTTCCAACATATAAATATATTTTAAATACTGCTTTGATCGTAGTTCCTTCTTAAATTAAGACTAACCTACGATTATTATAAGATCGCATTAATTATTTATTAATTTGTGCAGGTGTGTTCTTGTTCGCAGGTTTGGTTAATTAATTTTTGCTCTGATATGGTTGAATATAGGAAAAACAAATTGAAAAAACCTATTTAACGAAGCTGAATCGTTGCCAACGCGCCCAATGCATGTTCTTCATACATGATAATCCATAGCTGGTGGAACTGAGCAGCCTCACTTGTTGCGATACGGACCCTCATGAAGACGTAAGAGAAAAATTGACAGCAATGGAAAAAAATCTCGTTTCATTCGCTTAACGCTTAACGCTTTTGCATTTCTAACATAGATACATTTCTCCATTTCATTTTTTGTTTAAATGTGCCGTGACCGCAGCAAGGTCTGATTAAAAAAAAACAATTTGATAACACTCGCACGTATGGCAGGCTGTTTCACTTTTCGATAGTTTAAATATTATTCAGCCGAATAGAAAAGTAGTAAAAAATGTCCCAAAAAATTGCAGTTATTAATATCGGGTAAAAAGAATGAAAAGCGTAAAAAACCCACACAATTATTTTATACATATGTATGATGAGATGAGACAAATAGTGTATCTGCTTAGAAATTGTTAGTTTCATACATTTTTGAGTAGCCTGATTCAATTTAGTAAATTTTTTTTATTCAAGCCTACGGAAAGATAATTGTATTTTTAATATCTCGAATTATCACTATGTTCTGATGTAAAAAATAATTCAGAATTAAAATTATACCTCGACATGATTTTCTAATAATTCGATGTATTAAAAATATTGTCTTTACATAGCCTTGAATGATAAAAATTAAATGAAAAAAAAATCCCTAACCAGATACATTATTCGTTTCATGTCACTATAGAAAATAATTGGTTCATTTTTATATGCTCATCATTTTATGCCCGAGATTTATAATTGCAATTTTGTTTTCAGTATTTTTTCGTAATGCCTTCTTTATCCGTCTGAATATTATTTATGCTATTAAAAAAGGAAACAGCCTACCATAAGTGTTTGTTAGAGGTAGGCTCTCGGGAAAAAGAAACGTTCGCTGATTCATGTACCAATTTATTGGATGTATACGATGTAATATAATACAATATTTGTAGACGAATATAATCATATATTTAATGAATCTTCAGTTAAATAGGTGAAAAGAAGAAACGTTTGCTGTTTGATGTACCAATTTATTGCATGTATACGATGTAATATAATACAATATTTGTAGACGAATATAATCATATATTTAATGAATCTTCAGTTAAATAGGTGAAGCAATAAGCATAGTTGATAAATAAGAAAAAAAAGAAAAAGGGATGAGAAGTGAGTTCCGAACTGGAGACTCTCGGACGTTAATCCAGCACCAAGCACGTACGCTACCGAGCCATTGTGCTGTAGAAATTAGAAACTTTATATTTCTGTAGTTACCCACGTTCAAGGGTTTGTTTAAAGTTTTATTTGCTCACTGTATTATTTACAAAACTTCATATGGATATTAAGGGAATTAACATCGACAAAATTTACTACCTCATTACTACGGTTTATGTAATATGCAGTAAGAAAGGGTGGATTCAAGTCTCCCTATTTGAGTGTTCACCCGGTTTAAAATCGTGGATCTCGAGGAACACACGAATTCATTCAACCAATCAAAAACGTGGAACTAGTTCCAGAGTCTTGTTCAGGTGGCGCGTCGACGCGCCAAAACACAGCTCCAGATTATAACGCGTAGTATTACTATACAGGGTGTCCGAAAACTACCTGACCACCGGGGTATGGCGGTGTTCGGGAGGTAACACTGATCACGAAAATGACCTTCCTTTTGTCCGGAAGGTCATAGTTTTTAAATGGGAGCAGGTCAAAGTTGACCAATCAGAGCGAGGCGTCACGAGAAACGTAGGCACCTGCGAACTCTGAGTTTTCTTCCCTCGCTTTTGTTTCTCGGTGGCTTCGGGCAGGATGACGTCAGCCGAAGACATGCCTATTGGAAACAAGAAACAAGAAAGAAGCCACCGAGAAACAAAAGCGAGGGAAGAAAACTCAGAGTTCATAGGTGCCTACGTTTCTCTTGACGCCTCCCTCTGATTGGTCAACTTTAACCTGCTCCCATTTAAAAACTATGACCTTCCGGACAAAAGGAAGGTCATTTTCGTGATCAGTGTTACCTCCCGAACACCGCCATACCCCGGTGGTCAGGTAGTTTTCGGACACCCTGTATAGTAATACTACGCGTTATAATCTGGAGCTGTGTTTTGGCGCGTCGACGCGCCACCTGAACAAGACTCTGGAACTAGTTCCACGTTTTTGATTGGTTGAATGAATTCGTGTGTTCCTCGAGATCCACGATTTTAAACCGGGTGAGATCTGTGTATACCTATATATATCCCTGTATATATTGTAACGAATTGCACAAATGAAGGCACCGCGAGAAATAATTAATAGATTATTATATTACTGGGCGCCAGGTGTACCAAGAGATACACCGCTGTCTCCAGAGGATACCACGGCCAGCTCTTGTGCGGTGGGGTCCTGTGTCTGAGAGACAATAACTAGACCTGAAATTTTCTAATCGCCACCAGACAACACAAAAGGGGCATTGAGAAATCAAATAGATCTGAGGTTTCGGTTAAACATACGGAACCCATGGACGGCTCCGATTTATTGGGAACAAAAAAAAATAAAACGAAATATAAAAATAAGATAATGAAATTTGGTAATACTAGAACACAGGAAGGAACAACGGTTCCAAAATAATTCATACAACGCAGAATAATAATGTAAGTGGAACAACGGTTCCGAAAAACACGCGCGCAAGGAAACGACGGCTCCTCAACACCTAGAACGCGTGAATAAATATAAAATCAAACGACAGTATATAATTCCCGTAACAAGGAATAAGGATTCCTAACGTAACATAAAACTAAAAAGGATTAGACCTATCTTAATCCTGTACGATAAGCTAGGGATTATCTCCTGGAAGCCCATACGCTTCCGGCAACAACACGCGTTTTACGTAATGCACACGCAACGAGGAGCAACAGTGATATTTACAAAAATCAGCTGGCGAGTGGCCTAGTGCCCGACTCGTCGGCTTCACAATATTTACAAAGTTCTAACGCCGTAACAATAACGGTGCTTGACCTCCTGAGAAGTCACCTAATATACCGAACCCGTAGATTCCTCCCTAGGAATCTAGATCTTTCGCTTGCCGTCAAGCGCGTGTATCCTAATCCGTCACGAATACTTCCACGGTCGGAGTCAGTTCCGAAAACCTATTTGCCTACTGAAAATATCAGTCAGAAAATACGCAATCCCCTTTCTGCCTTCCTAGCACCCACGAATATCACCGGTAGAAAAACGTACCACTGCGCGGTACTTACGATACACGACGCAAGACCGAAACGATTACGCGTAACGTGGACTGGATATTATTAATTTGCATGCAGATTCTTCAAACATGCTCTACGAATAATCTAACACAAAACTAGAAACCAAACTTTGATGCGAGTTAACGGATCCTCCAGATCGCCACCGAATTGGCAAACATTGGATCTCAACGATCATATAAGCGGAAGCCGACGCATGCTGTCTGGATGAAAGATCCAGCAGCTAACTCTAAGGTCCAGTTAATCTCTATTAATTACAAAATTAGGAAGCTCGGTAGCGTCACCCACCCAAAATAGCCCTCGCCAAATCATCCATATTTTCCGGATTCATAGTTCTCTCTCTCTCTCTCTCTCTCTCTCTCTCTTTCCCTCTCTCTCTTTCTCACTCCTTCACTTTCACTCTACACTTCTGCCACACTTTTGGCACACGTACGTACTGGACGTTAGCTACACCGAAAGTGACGCTACCCGATCGCTTGCCCGCTAACGTGCCCTAGTGGCGCGGAGGAATATCACCAGTGGGCCCAATCAAATTCTCGCTAGCCCCTACGGGGCCCAATTCGCCCGCGATCTTCAATTGTCTACGGGATCCTCGAAAAGTAGATCTGCGCATCTTCTCCTCTTCTGGGCGATTGCAGTGTCTTTTCTTGGGGCGGGAATCTCATCCGCACCTCATCCCTCGTTGTACGGCTCCAGGCCGCCACTGCAACCCCCGGATCCTGCCAGAATCTCGGATCTTCTCGCGGCGTCCTTCCGCGTAGGTGGTCTCGCTCAGTGGTGCTCTGCGGTCGCGCTGGCCCTCCTCCTGCTGGCTACGTCACGCCAGTGTTGCTGATCGCACGGGTCGGGCCCCTTTGTTGTAGTCCGGGCCGTTGCTGCGTCTTATTTTTCTCCGATCGGTTCCCTTACGGGACCGATCACCGCTAGTAACATTCAAAATACAGACCCCGAAGGGAATTAATAAATATTCTACACGCTAAATTCAGTCCACGCTCGACGCAAATGTTAGGTTGCCTTGCGGGCCTCACGGTGTAGCTCCTATTTCGTCTTTTTCCTCTTTCTTTTGTGACGTGCACAAAGTGCCACGTCACAATATATGTATACTGGGGTATACCTTATATATATCGCGTTACTTATACGACCTACCGATAAGGTGGCGCTGCTGCTCGTGCTAACAGTCTAAAGCACGGGAGTGCCGTGTCTCCAATAAGTGGTCTGTGGTCCAATCTTTAATTTTTTCATGGATGGCGCGCTAAAGGGCGGCTGTAGCCCAGTGGATAGGGTAGCGGATTCACGACGGAAAGGTTGGAGGTTCGTGCCCAGCTTCCAGCGGCATTCACCAATGGGTTTTCATATGAAAACTTAAGTAAGTATTTATACGGATTTTGCCCAACACTATTCGGATTCGGTGTATAAACTTTGTAGGTCCCCTCACGCTGAGTTGAATAAGGCCCGTCTCGCAAGGTACATCGCCATCTATTATCGAACTTCCAACCTTGATTATGAGGACCAGTTACTGGCACATGTCCCCCATTGGGGATACAGCCATAAGGAAAGGAAGGAAGGAAGGAAGGATGGCGCGCTATCGTTCTACAGCAGTGTATTAATAAAAGTACTTAGTTATCGGGAAGAATTAATTTCAGTTTTTTCTGTGGTTTCAAACAGTGTACATCCTTCTATTTCGTCTACGACCTATACAGTTTCTTTTAAAATGGCAAATAGTCCTTATAAAAAGGTTACACACTGCATTTTCGATATGGATGGACTGCTACTTGGTAATATATATAATGAATTATATTTAAAAATGTTGACGTGTTACATCTCTTAATGCCCGCAAATTGTATCGTAAAGACCATGTCGGAAAATTCATTTAGATTTTCATAAAGTTGCTGAAAGGTCTTGTTTGACTTATGCAATTTTAGAGGACATAGTAGGCAGAGCTTAGATTTATGTTTGGGCATGCAAATTGTTGTCTGTGTTAGTAGTTAACAAAAAATAGAATGATATTAATTTTTCTAAGCTATTCGCATGACAATAGTTTTTCTTAAAGGTTATTTTTTATACTTTGTGACATGTTTGGTTCTAAATCTCTTGATTAACAGGTATTTATATTTGTAAAAATGTATGCATTTAATAGATAAAATAAGAGATATAACAACATCTTTCTCTTTCTTAGGAATTCATGTTTATGTAATTAAATGATGTTTCATTACATAATTTGAGTGCATTTTAATTATATTTAAAGCATATTTGATGCAATTAATTATGTACCATATATTTTTTGTGAGCTTTTTGTTTTTAATATAGATATATAATGTTTTTAGTAAAGAACAAGCCATCTGTACAAATTACATTATATACTTTTTTTGTTAATTACATTTTTTAGTGCTAGTCTTGATTTGTTTAATATTATGAAGTTGCTAAAAATAATATATGTTAAATATTATTTATTGTTATATGAATGAGATTAATTCTAGAATATTAAAAGAGAATTCCAATTGAAGTTAAGTATGCGTATGTATTTTAGATGCTACATTAGAAATGTAATTTCGAGATGTGTTTTAAATTTATGCTTATTCATGTTTATATTGAGACTCAAAAACTAAGTTTGATTTTAAAGCATCATTACTAAGGTGAAATTATATGTGTTCCTGTTATTAGAAAAACAGACTATATTATCTTTGTAGATAATGGAAATTAAACTATTAAACTGGTATACAATGATCTTTTGAGAATACTTTGAAGGAAAATGAAATCACAATTTAATACTTACAATTTGTAACAATATTTTTTAATGCTTTTCTACAACAAGACATATATTATTAATATATCATATTATACCATGTTATATACAACTCAGGTATATCGTATTCCATCCCATCAAACCCAAGATAACAGTTATATATTAGCAATGCTACAATTTCCTATTGAAGGATATAATAGCTAAATAACTATGTGTATGAGATGATATCTAAAGTATTATATTTTTGGAGAGAAAATTATAATATTGTCAATATGTAACTATTACTTTGTGTTTCCTGAATTTATGTTATGCATTTGTTATATTATATTTTTAGAAACTGCTTTGATCCATATAATCACAATGTTTGTAAGCTTCTAAAATTCTTTGGTAGAAACTTTTTGTACATAGAATTTTTCAAAACAATATGTAACTAATGAACAATCACTACAAGCAATATATTAAATCTTATAAACATATCAATGTGTTTATTTACTTTGTTATATGTTACCATATCTACTATCATGCTTGAACGTGTTGCGCAGATACCGAGAAGCTATACACTGAAGTATTTAACCAAATTACCAATGCATATGGAAAGCAATTTACATGGGAAATCAAAGCAAAAATCATGGGTTTCAAAATACTTGATTCAGCATGTGCAATAGTGGACATGTTAGAATTGCCAATATCCCCCCAGCAATTCCAAGAACAATCACTACAATTGTATAAAATTTTCTTCCCAAAGGCTGAACTCATGCCAGGTAATAGTTTATGTTTAATGGTAATGAGCAGTATGTTTTTCTTTTATACAGATACTGAGAGTTTATATAAAACAATATACTGGAATATAGTATCAAAATATGGACATATATATGAAGGAGAATTGGCGTATGCAGTTCTGGGGCGACCAGAACGTGTAGGTGCCGAACTTATAATCAACCATTACAAGTTACCTTTAACAGTGTCCGAATTTCAAGATATATATCACCGAATGCAGCGAGAGCTTTTCACGGACGTTAAATTGATGCCAGGTTAAGGGAACTTTGTGTGTTGTTCGTCGTACCTCAAAAATTTTATTTAGAGCCGAATCTTTCATAATTTCTATATCCCTCCATTATTATTACTATATTCTTGCAATGGATCTTGTTTTTTTTTTGTAATTACAAAAAAATCGTGCATTCCAGATACATAAGATTTAATCAAAAGATCCATTTATTTTCCTGAAGAAGTAACAGTAATTTCATATTTTGATTGTACTGTTATTAGTAGATTTAAAAGAGATAGAGTTATAAAATGTAAATTCCAATCAGTAACATTAATTGCATACAGAATATTTTTTAAGTATATTGCAGGGTCCAAAACTACTTTATCAGCAAATTATATTTAAATTCGGAAGATAGAATTTTTTAAAATTATTTTTCTGTTATTACTGAGAAAATAAAGCAGCAGTTGTTTCATACTGGTATTACTTTCAACCTATTTCATTTTATTAATAAGCTTTTCAAGAATGTATTGTATGTTTTAAATAAAAATTACTTAGTTCCAATTTTTATCATTAACATGCTTGAAGCAAGTATTAACATTTGAAGATTTTTATTTAAAATCGAAACAAAACATGAAGTTGTATTATGAAGTTAAACCAATTTTAATGAATTCAAACACTGTGGAACAGGTTCTGAAAGTTCAAATTTTAAGTATCTAAATCAATATCTTATGGGTATAATTATATATTTACTACTAGCAAATTGCCTTCGCTTCGCTCAGGCAAAATTAAACGGAATTCTTTAGAATTTTCTAGAACTTCCTAGAATGTTCTGGAACATTATATAAAATTCCTTCTAATTTAACTTTCTAGAACTTTCTGGGATATTTTATGGAATTCCATCAAGTTTTCTAGAACATTCTATGGATTTCTATTGAATTTTCTGGAACTTTCCAGAATTTTTTGGAGCATTCTCTGGAATTCTATCGAATTTTCTGAAACTTTCGAGACAACGAAGAAATAAATTAAATGAGAAGCGAGAAGTACCTTTAGCTTCATAACGGGAGAGACGCTGTATGAAAAAAAAAAAAAAAACAGAATTTTCTTAATATCCTGAAAGGATATTCATTCCAAAACATAAATTTGTTCGATGGGGTATGGTGTACTACCACACCATATAACCCTCAGGGGGTCCAGGGGTTGGTTGCGGAGAAGAAGCTACGCGCACAAACATATTACACTTTCTTTTATTATATATATATATATATTGATTGATTGATTAAGATTATAAAATAATTGTTTAAATAATTTTTAGATGCTATCGATGAGTCAATCGTAGATATAATTTATTTATTTTTAATTTGATTACGATGTTACACCGGCAAATTGTTCTTTTATGTATATTTTTTTGACTACTTCCATTATCTTAAAAAAAGGAATGCTCATTTTTTACTATAACAATGTAGCAAATAGAAATATATTTTGCAAGAATAGATACTAAATAAAACAGTCTATATTTCAACATACTGCTAGCTAAGAGTATGTCAATTTCATCCATTATGATGTTTTATGATTTTAAATGTGGACGATTGTAATAATAATTATCAAATTTGTTTATAAGAACTGCTCGTAAATTCATGCTCTGGAGATATTGCTCACAAAAATTAAAAATGAAAGGAATGGAAACTGTTTTCAAATTTTTTAAATTATTTATGTAAGTGTCATGTTCACGTTAAAGAATTGAATCAATTTATCCTATAAAAAATATTGCTCAGCAACTTTTTAGTCGAAAGTTTAATTACTCAAATTTGATCTAAAGTATATTCAAATTCAAATCCTTATAACATCATACATTCTTCATTTATTTATTGTTTCAGCGTTTTGCATCAGTGCATGAATGAAGGCACCCTAGTTTAAAACGTGGATAGAAATTTATAAACTCAGAACCAAAAACCCTACTGAAATGTATAGATTTTACAACTCAGTATATGGCATCTGATTCTGAGTGTATAAGTTTCTATCTCTTTTTATTAAATATATGATTCATATATTATTGCAAGTTATTAAAATATGCAATTATACATGCAGGTGCAGAGAAACTTCTATACCACCTTAAAGAGAATAATGTTCCAATTGCATTGGCAACAAGTTCCAGTGTGGATAGTTACGAATTGAAAACAGTGAAATGGAAAGAATTGTTTGATTTATTTCATCATAGAGTGATCGGTGGTTCTGATCCTGATGTGCAGAAAGGCAAACCACATCCTGATATTTTCCTTGTAGCCAAAAATCGATTTCCTGATAAACCAGATTCGTCAATGGTTTGTTGCAGTATGATTTTCACTGTCCTCATAAAAATGTATAATATTAATAACATGTATTAATAAATTTCAGTGTCTTGTATTTGAAGATGCTCCAAATGGTGTTCAAGCAGGTATTGAAGCTGGTATGCAAGTGGTAATGGTGCCTGATCCATGTCTTCCATCACATTTAACTGAAAAGGCAACGTTAGTATTGAAGAGTCTGGAAGACTTTAAACCTGAACAATTTGGTTTACCACCATATAAAAACTAGAATGAATGAATTTCACAAAACGCTGCGGTGATATACATTATATGAACATATTAAATGAAATGCACAGAATATCACTTATGTTATTCTACCATAATTATTCCTATTAGAATACCTGAATTTACAAATACTATACAAAATGTATAATGGATTATATCCAATTCCATTTCTTTGTAGTAACAATAGAATATGTTATAAATTATTGAAATATATTGAGTCTTGATACAAAAGTCATATGCACACTATTACTAGTCAAATAATAAAAATATTTTACTTAGTGGTGTGACGATTTTTCATTACTATCATTAATTTTTCTGTCGGTACTAATATTGTTGAGATCTGTGCAATTTGATATTACTTCATGATAAGTGATGATTTTTGCATTAATTACATTACTGCTTTGATAATTTAGTTATTGCAGACAATGATTCATGTGATAGATATTGAAGGTTTCTAACATCAAAAGCAATATAACGTACTTAATTATAGATTATTATTCTCTTTGTACAGCTATTTTCTTTCATAACTAAATAAATTATAGTACATGATTATAACAAATTTGTACTGGTTCATGGTATACTAGATGCAACTTGCTGTATCTTTGCAAGAACTTCATCCGATTTTAGATTAGACAAAGGGATGCAGCATTCTTTACCAAGTTCTGAAAAAAGAATTATTTTATTACTATTATCAATTAAACCTAAATTATATATTAGATAGTTGAATTTAAGACCTTTGGAGCTTTGTACTCATATTTTCATAAGCAGAATAAGTTCTCATCTAAGACATGATTGCATATTACTTGGAATATACAATTGTCAATAGTTCAAGATTATTAATATCATTGAAAAAAAATGAAAGTTACTGTAATTTAGATTAGTTTCACATAAAAGTGCAAAAGCATTATACTATAAACATTATAATTTGTTATATTGATATAAATGTGTAAATCTATTGATTTTATATCAAATAATGTCCACTACAAGAATATTGCATAAGAAATATTCTATAATTTTCCTAATTTTTTGTTTTTGAAGGAAAAACATATTCTGTATCTGTGTGATGTTAAGCCTATGATGTAATACACTTACCATAGCGGGCATATACTTTTGGTTCAATTAAAGAACACTCTCTTATTAGGACGGGGAATTTTGGATTATTCTTCTTCATTGATACGTATTGTTGTTCGATAAAGTCCCTGTGAAATATAAATATTGCAATTAAAATACTGTTTTTACAGTATTTAACCTATAATTAAGAATTGGAAAAATTTTATTTAAAACAGTTATAATTTGATCACTTTTGTGAATGGTAATAAGTACACTCTAACTTTTTGAAACTGCATTTTACCTGACACCTTGACTGGACTTCGATGTTTGACATAAAAGAATTCTTAATTCTTTTAAGTGCGAAGCAAATTTCACCGCCGCCATCTTGATAAATCTCAACTATTTCTGTGTATTTTTCATAGGGTGGGCTATAGTGTCATACTTGTGAAGGTAATATTTCACGCATGCGACCATGGAGCCTAGAATACAAGAGGTCGATTGTGTAACTCAAATGTAGTGAAAATACGAAAAGTGAATAGCTGTTAGCCAATCGCGTGTTAGGTTCACAAGAAGACAAGCACAGCGATTGGCTAACAGTTATTCACTTTTCGTATTTTCACTACATTTAAGATACACAATCGACCCTCAGGAGGCCGAACGCTTATGTTGATAGGACAAAATTGTGGTCGACGAAACTTGACTTAGATCGGGTTCTAAATTTCACCACAAGCGTCGCTGTAAACCTTTAAGACTGACGTGAAGTAACCGTTTGGTGATAGAGTGAAGTGAACATAGGCTTAGTTTCCACCGACACAGAGTCGAGCTCAAACAGAGCTGAAATAGAGGCCAGTTTTTAACCTGCGTGAAGTTGGCCGGCCAACTTTTATTTTTTAAACTTCTTTTTATTCAAATCGTTTGATCAGAGATGAGTAGGGAGATTGCCAATGAGCCTGTTTTTGGTGGTCTCAATTTTTCTCTGGTTTCGGCGCGCCACCTTAGCGGAGGGCCCTCGAAGCAGTTCCACGTGTTTGATTGGTCGTGTATATATAGTAATACTACGCGTGATAATCTGGAGCTGTGTTTTGGCGCGTCGACGCGCCACCTGAACGAGACTCTCGAACTAGTTCCACGTTTTTGATTAGTCGAATGAATTCGTGTGTTCCACGAGATCCACGATTTTAAACCGAGTGAACACTCAAATAGGGAGACTTGTATCCAACTTTTTTTTTACAGGATATTACATAAACCGTAGTAATAAGGTAGTCAATACTCTTAATAATCATATCAAGCTCTGCAAATAATAGAGTAAGCAAATAAAACTTAAAAAAAACTCTCGAACGGGGGTAACTACAGAAATATAAGTTTGCTAAACAATATACCACAATGACTTGTAGCACACGTGCTTGGTGCTGGATTAACGTCCGAGAGT